AAGCAAGGATAAACACATGGGACTCCATTGAACTAAAAATGTTTTTATACATTGAATGAAATTTTCACAGAAACAGAAAGCAACTGAGGAATTGGGAGAAAATATTTGCATATCATAAAGCCAACCCAAAGAGTTTAATATCCAAAATATTTGTTTTAGAATTCACACAACAGAATAGCAAGCAATATTTTTAAATGGGCAAAAGAGGGGCTGAAAAGATAGTACAGCAGGTAGAGCATCTGCCTTACACATGGCCAGCGAGGGTTGGATCCCCTGCATATATATGGTCCCTTGAGCACTGCCAGGAGTAATTCCTGAGTGCAGAGCCAGGACTAACCCTTGTAAATCACCAAGAGTGGCCCCAAAACAAACAAAAAAAGTGGGCAGCAGACTTAAGTAGTCACTTCTTTTTCAGAGCCTGGCAAGCTCCCCGTGATGTATTCGATATGCCAAACACAGTAACAACAAAGTCTCCAATGGAGACGTTACTGGGCTCGCTCGAGCAAATCGATGATCAACGGGAGGGCCTTTACCTTTTACCTTTACCTTCTTAAAAAAGATGTTCAGGTGGCCCACTGACAATAAAATGCTCAACATCACATAATGGGAAAATGCAAGTCAGTACCACAATAAGGTCACCACACAGTGAAGAGAATAGCATGTATCAAAAGATTAGAAACAACTAGGTTGGCCAGGCTGGTGCGAAAGAAACTTATTGAAGTTTCGATAACCATTGCTAAGAGTGTAAATTGGTAGAAGTGCTTCAGAAAAATATCAAAATTCCTTTTTAAAATAAAATAAATAGGGGCTGGAGTGATAGTACAGCGGGTAGGGCATTTGCCTTGCACGCATCCAACCTGGGTTCAATCCCCGGCATCCCATATGGTTCCCCCAAGCACCGCCAGGAGTAATTCCTGAGTACAGTGCCAGAAGCCGACCCTGAGCATAGCTGGGTATGATCCATGACCCAAAAATAAATAAATATATATATGTGTGTGTGTGTGTGTATGTGTGTGTGTGTGTGTGTGTGTGTGTAGACCTTCAGCACCTCCAGGTTTAACTTTGGTGGCCCCCACCCAGCAGGACTGGGTCACATCACTGGGCCCATTAAACCTCCTAGTACAAATCACTGAATTAACACCTGAAGTAGCTGGGGGCTCCTAAGTGCTACTTGGTGGTGGGCTCCACGACCAAGAAAGCCCAACTTCCCCTTGTCAGCTACCTCAGCCGTTCCCTTTCTGCATTTTAAACATTCCTGCCAATCCTTGGGCCTTCTAGATACTGAGGAAGTTTATAGTTTCCCAAACTGAAAATTCACCCCAGACTGTGGGCTCGCAGGAGACTAAGGGATAAAGGGCAAGAGGGTCAAATCTGTAACCTAAAAGATCTCAAATAGACCATCCCCACCAACTAAAGTGGAAACGTTCATCTTATCTTAGCTACACAAATGCTACATCAAAAATGCATTTGGGAAACAGATGGGAACTTTCTGATACTTCTATAAGAAACACAAACCCAATTCTCCTATGAAAACCCCACACACACAAAAAGAGAAAATGAAGCATATTTGGTCCTATACTAAGCTCCCCTTTCCACTACCCCCCCGCCCCAGAGCTTTTCTTCTACTTTTTAGTAAGCTTTTTTTTATCTATTTCTGAATCTGAGCATCTTTATTACTCAATATTTTTAAGAATGAAAACATTGAAGAATCTGCTACCACAGACAGAGACTGCTACCACAGCTCCTGCATCACTGTTCCCCCCTCAAAAAAAAAAAAAATAGAAATAACACAAGTCAGTGATATCACACTGAGGCATTCATTCAAAGGACAGTAAAACACTAGTTCAAAATATTAGATATTCAAGACATTTGCATGCCCATGTCCCAGCAGCATTATGCAAAAATAGCAAAAATATGGAATCATACTAAATACCCATTGACAAATAACTGGATAAACCAAGTGTGATGTATATACTCAATGGAATAATATTCTGCCATTAAAAAGGGATGAAATTGTTTCTTTGTTATTTGTTATTTGTTATTTTGGAGACAAAATAGATAAAATTTGAAGTGATTGTGCCAAGTAAAAATAAGTCAGTGATGAAAACATTACCAGATGGTTTTGTTCATAATGTGAATTATAACTAAAGCAAAGCAACTGGTTAAACAAAACTGACTTCTGGATTGAGGGAAAGATGGAAGGATGAGAAGAATGGGTAGAGGCATCTTTTTGATAGTGGGACACAACTATAAACTTGATAGTGTGATGGGCCTAAAAGTATAAATCTATACGTCTAGAATTCTATTGTTAAGAAATTATTAAACAAAAAAGTTAAAATATTAAATGCTATGGCCAGATAGTACAGCAGGTAAGGCACTTGCCTTGCATGTGTTCAATCAGGGTTTAATCCTCAGCATCTCATATGGTGCCCCAAAGCTCTACTGGGAGTGATCACTGGTAAGAGTTAGGAGTAAGCCTTGAGCTTCACCAGGTGTAGCCCCAAAACACACACACACACACACACACACACACACACACACTCTCACACATACAAAATCACAGTAACAGGTACAGAGGGAAAATATCTTAAGATACTCTATAGGTATAAATCTGATGTGTGACCTACATAGCAAGCCAGAGAAAAATAGTCCTGCAACAAAAAGAAAACTAAAAATGTATGTTCCTCAAAGTTAAGAGTGATTGTAGTTGGTGAGTGGGATAGTGAGTGATTTTTATTTTATTTGTTTACACTTCTTCAGACTTCCACATTTTATAAAAATTCTGCATAGATGTACATGTAAAACTATCAATGAATTTTTAATTTTTATAAATGAAATAAAAAAATGCAATTTCTCATATATAAATGAGAAAATTGCAAGTTAAGAGTTTGAGAGACTTTCATTCTATTTATATTTTTTTCACTGCATGAAAACATTTCAATTTAATGTAGCCCTAATTATATTAAATCTCATTTCCCTACTGGAGTTTAGTCCCTAATACCAATACTAGTGAAACCTTTTCCCTGTTAGCCTATGTCCTTTATGACTTCAGGTCTTACATAGAGGCCTTTAATCCATTTTGTATTTACTGTTGTATATTGAGATGGAGTAACTGAGCATTTTCGCATTTTTTGTTTATTTATTTACTGTCTTGTTTTGGTTTGGGGTCCACACCCAGCAGTGCCTGGTTAATTCTGGCTCTGTGCTCAGAGATGAGTAATTTTTGAGTACAGAGTCAGGTGTAAACCCTGAGAACCACCAAGTGCAGCCCAAATCAAAAAACAAAAAATATCAAGTGCTTTTATAATGACAATTACCAAGAAATTTGAAATTACAAGGAGACTGAGGTATATGTTGGAAGAAAAGACAAAATGTAAATGGTACAGCAACCTAAGGAGAGAAGGAAACTAGACAGGGTAAGATTAGAAATACTGGCCCTGGAGGAAAATTCCTGAGACTGGATACAGAACAAGTAACCAGGATACACAGAGGATAATCCTTTAAAACATCATACTCTTCCCCAGCCCCTTTACATCCCCCTTTGTACATCTAAGCCCAGCGCAGAGTGCTCACTTATGCCTCCTCATAAAAAGAATATAAAAAGATATATATTTTTTTTTTTACTTAAGGATTCCAGTTCCCCAACTTCCCTACCTTCCTTTCATTTTTCTCAAATAACATTCTACAGAATTTGGCCATCTTCTTTCTCCAAACCTCTGCCTGAAGATAAGAATCTTTTTTTTTCTTTTTGGATAACACCCAACCACCAATGCTCAGGAGTAACCCCTGGCTCTGCACTCAGGAATCACTCCCGGCGGTGCTCGGGGGACCATATGGGATGCTGGGAATCAAACCCGGGTCGGCTGCATGCAAGACAAATGCCCTACCCGCTGTGCTATTGCTCCAGCCCCCTGAGGATAAGAATCTTAACAGAAACAGATTGATTGTGTATGCAAAGAGATCTCAAGGAATTGCACTACCAGCACCAGCCTAAACAAAAACTAACATTTTGAGTGAGTCCCCAAAGTGCAACTGACCACCTAAATACAGGCTAATCAGATTCCTAATGGCTTGGGCAAAGGCCCTGACATTTACATACAAACCTACCTCTAGGAGAATCTGACGGACACTCCTCACCTCCCCTCCCTCCCACCACCACCTGCTCAACGCCCAGATCTCACAAACTAGGGGGAGGGGATTTATTTTTCTGCTCTTTGGTTAGCATCCAGAGAAAGTACTGGAGGCTTCCAGTGCCAGGATCTCTGAAGTCCTAGCACACTGGTCATCTGTAGTCACCTCTAGATGGAGAAACAGCTGCAAGGTGGACCTATACATGTTAGTGATTACACTCACAGAAAAAATGTATGACTTTGGTACTCCACAAAAGTTTTGGCATAACCTGAGGAAGAGGTGAAGCAGGCCTGTTTCTTATCTTACCTCCCAAAGTGCTTCGCCAGCAATCAACAACAAACACCAAAGTGGTTGTAGATATTTGACTCAAGTATTTCGATATCCTCTATACCTGGGTCCTCACATAATCACTGTCTTGTTAAACAGCTTGGTGTGTGTGTGTGTGTGTGTGTGTGTGTTTAAAACAGGGTGCTCAGAGTACTCTAAACCCTCTTTGCAAAAATAACCTCCACAAAATAGAACCACGGAGCTGCCCACTCTTTCCCAGGGTTCTTCAGGTAGGTAACCTGCTCTTCCCTTAGGACTGTATGCCGAGGAGTGCAGGGATTTTGTTGCCTTTGCTCACGGGTGCACGGCCTGGCACGCAATGGGTACGTGTTGCCTGCATCTGATAAAGAAAAAAAGAAGCTAGCAGCCCTGCCAAGGGATGAGGTCAAGCGCCTGTCTCTCTTTGATGGACAACAGGTAAGAACAGATGAGTTGGATTGGGTGACAAGCACCCAAGAACTCAGGGTGCCCACAGTATGTCCTCGCTGTGGCTGCAACGTGGGGAGCCCTGAGTGCTGAGGAGGGGTCAGGGAGACACTTACTCCAGCTTCTTGAAGTGTTCTCTGCCGGCCGCCACATACTTGCCACCGCTCTGCAGGGCTTCCAGCTCCAGCACCCGGCGCCCACGCGTGGGGGTGTAGAGGCGCCGCACCCCAAAAGGCACTTCCACCTGCTGGGTCAGCTGCTCCAGCAACACCTCGAAGGTGGCCACGCGGCGCCGCGAAAGCACGAACTTCTTGCCCACGTAAAACTGGTCCCCATTGCGGTACACCAGGATGGTCTTGGCAGGCGTGGTGTCCACTAGCGAGTAGGACTTGCGCGCGCCCATAGACTGATCGGAGCCCCGCATGTGCCCTCCGTGCTGCCACCGGCGCTTCTCTCACTCCTGCCCCGTGGGACGGAGCGGACGGCGCAACCACCGAGACGCCACTGGCCGTGGTTCGCGGGGCACCTGCACGGCTACCGACGCTGCGCTCCAGCCTGGGCGCAGCTGTGACGCGGGGACCGTGCTGGCCTCCTGCGCGCTGACGCGACCCCTGTGATTGTGACCACAGCCAGACACCAGCCTCTCCAGAAGAGCTGCCGGGAGATGAACCTCCCGCCCGGGCCGTGGAAGGGAAAAAAAGAGTCGGGCACCCCCTCCTTCCAACAGAAAAAGAGCCAAGCAAGAGGAGAGGATGAGAGGGAAGAAGACAGCATCCTGCAAGTGTGGCAGGAATGGAGGGTGCCGAGGACCCTCTCTGCACCGGATTCCTCCCCCCAATCTTCTTGCTCCAGCGCTGAAGGGGCCAAGGGCCGCGGTGGGTGGGGGCACCGGGTTGTCCTGGCCGTTACCAGCCAAAACTGCGCCGAGGACACATTGTCAGGTGAGGAGCAGGAGCTGATGTCTTCACATTTAGCTTTCGGAATGCATCTTTCTTTGAGGGAAGAACAACTGTGCTTGGGTAACCAACTGGTATTCTGGTATTCTGTGTCTGCAGGCTGCTCCTCTTGCTGAAACAATGAGCAGTGCTAGTCACGCATTTTCCATCGTATATCTGACACGGAATGCTATCCGAAATATACGAAGAATTCATAAATCAACCAGAAAAATGACTTTTTTTCTTTTTTGATCACACCAGGCAATGCACAGGGGTTATTCCTGGCTCATGCACTCAGGAATTACTCCTGGTGGTGCTTGGGGGACCATATAGGATGCTAGGAATCAAACCGGGGTCGGCCACGTACAAGGCAAACACCCTACCCGCTGTGCTATCGCTCCAGCCCCCCAAAAATGATTTTTTTTGCTTTTTGGGTCACACCCGGCGATGCACAGGGGTTATCCTGGCTCTGTACTCAGGAATTACCCCTGGCGGTGCTCAGGGGACCATATGGGTTGCTGGGAATCGAACCCAGGTCGGCCACATGCAAGGCAAACCCCCTACCCGTTGTGCTATTGCTCCAACCCCAAAAAATGATTTTTAAATGGGCATCGCTTCTCCTTCAAAGACACTGTTTCGGCTGGCACACAGGAACATGGAGTGTCCTATCTGAATCTATGGGAAATGCAAATCACAACAATGAGATATCACACACCTGTAAGAATATTTTCTGAAGTGAAAAAACAAGGCAGGGGGGGGATTTAAAACAAGGTGCTCAGAGTAGATCAAACCGTCTTTGCAAAGTTAACCTCCACAGAAGAACCACAGAGCCGTCCACTCCCCTTCCCAGGGTTCTTTCACATAGGTGACCTGCTCTTCCCACAGAATTGTGTCCCAGGGAGTGCACACAAAAAGTGCAAAAAGAAGAGAACCCTTTGGTATTTTAGATTTGCACATTGGTGGGGCTAGCCTATAAAGCAGTATGGCAATTCCTAAAAAGAAAACTGGAAAATAAAAAGTCTATACTACCCATTTAACCTGCTTCCGAGTAATATCAGAAAACTACAAAAATTACTAATTCAAATGATAACTGTACCAGGGGTTTAGGCACTTGGCTTGCATGTAGCCAACCCAAGTTTGATCCCTAGCACTGCATACACTTCCCTGAACACCACAGGAGTGACCCCTGAACACAGAACCAGGAGTAAGTCCTGAGCACCTCCAAGTATAGCCCTAAAATAAAATCAACCACCACCAAATGTTCTCAGGATATATGTACTTAGTGTTTGTTAGAGCATCATTTATAATAGCCACTAGCTGAAACAAGCTAAGTTCCAAGATTTGGCCTATCTGTACAAAACTTCTCAAGTACTAAAAAAGGAAAATGAAATTCTGTCATTTACAAGAAAGTGGGTGGACCTTCAAGGTATTTTGCCTAAGAGAAATAGCACTGTAGCACTTGTAGCACTATAGCACTGCCCTCCCATTGTTCATCAATTTGCTCGAGCAGGCACCAGTAACGTCTCCATTGTGAGACTTGTTGTTACTGTTTTTGGCATATCAAATACATCAGGCTTTACCACGCGGGCAGGACACTCTCAGTAGCTTGCTGGGTTCTTCAAGAGGGACGGAGAAATCGAACTCGGGTTGGCCACGTGCAAGACAAATGCTATATTGCTCCAGCCCCTAAGAGAAGTCAGATAAAAACAAACACCCTTTGATTTCACTTATGTATGACACAAAGATAACAATTAAATAAATACACACGTTTACTTTTCAGCACTTTCTAAGTTCTTTTTCAAATTTTTTTAGGGGCTGGAAGATAGTACAGTAGGTAAGGCAGTTAGTTGCCTTGCCTCCACCCAGATTTGACCCCCAGCACCACTTCTGGTCTTCTGAGCACTGTCAGGAGTGATTGCTGAGCACAGAGACAGAAGCCAAGAGAATAGGTGGGTGTGGCCCAAAATGTTATGTTTTAATTATTATTGAGATGGCATGGTTTAAAATAGTGTCAGTATTGTTTTAAGGCATAAAATGTTACTATACCACACCCTATTACGATGTTGCCAGGATTTCTCTACCTTCCCTAGGTTTCTTCTTGCCCACTACCTCATTTCTCAATTAATTCCCCTCCCTTTCAACCAGCCTCACTCCCAGTTAAGAACCTCAGTTCTTTTATCAAAACCTAAGGTGGTTGCTTTCATTAGACTTTGTCTATTCCCTTTGCTTTGTTTCTATCTACCATATATGAATGAGAGGGCTGGAGTGATAGCACAGTGAGTAGGATGTTTGCCTTGCATGCGGCCAACCCAGGTTCGATTCCCAGCAACCCATATGGCCCCCAGAGCACCACCAAGAGTAATTCCTGAGTAAAGAACCAGGAGTAACTCCTGTGCATCACCAGGTGTGACCCAAAAAGCAAAAAATATCTATCTATCTAAATATGTGTATATATATATATATATGAATGAGATCATCTGGTATGTCTTTTTCTCCTAACTAATTTTAGTTAATACGATACCCTCCAGTTCCATCCAAGTTGTAGCACTGCAGCACTGTCCTCCCATTGTTCATAGATTTCTTCGAGCAGGCCCAGTAACGTCTCCATCGTGAGACTTGTTGTTACTGTGTTTGGCGTATTGAATATGTAATGGGTAGCTTGCCAGGCTTTGCTGTGCGAGCAAGATACTCTTGGTAGCTTGCCTGGCTCTCCGAGAGGGGTGGAGGAATCAAACCTGGCTCAGCCAGGCTAGCCGCATGCAAGGCACATGCCCTACCTCTGTGCTATTGCTCCAGCCCCATCCAGGTTGTGGAAATATATAAATTTTTATCATTTTTATAAATGATTAATATTTTGTTGTATATGAACAAGATTATTTCTTTATCTGCTCATTTATTGTTGGGCACTTGGGTCATTTTCAGGTCTTGGTTATTGTAAGAAGCACTGCAATGATCATAGAAATGCACATATTATTTTGAATTATAATTTTATGTTCTTGGGCTAGATAACAAGGAGTAATATTATTGGATTATAGCTTAACTCTGTTTTTCACTTTTTAAGACAACTTCATATTGATTTTCATAGAGGCTGAGCCAATTTACATTCCACCAACAGTCAATGAGAATTTTTTTCTCCATATCTCAGCCAGCACTGGTTGTTTCCACCCTTTTTGAGATAGTCCATTCTTACTGTTATGAGGCAATACCTCTGTTATTTTGGTTTTCACTTCCCTGATAATTCTGTAGTGATATGCAGTTCTTCATATTCCTATTTGCTATCTATGTACCTTCTCTGAAGAAGACTCTGCTCAACTCTTCTACCCATTTTTTGATGGGGCTTTTTAGTTTTGGTGTTGAATAAAATGTAATCTGTAAACTTTTACACTAAAAAATCAAAGATATGTGCATTATTAACAATTATTAATAGCATTATAAACGATATAACCTCAATTTAAGAATAAAAAAATTAAAAATAAATGGTTAGTTAAAGGAAGAGGTGAGAGGTAGGCAAGGGGGTAAACTGTATAATGAATAGTAAAACTGGATTTTTTGGTGAACAATGTATGTATCAAATGTATGTCTGCGTAGCTTTGATTTTCCAAGATGCACATCTGTAGCCACTACAATATTATAAATGCAATGTTACTTCTTTTTTTAAAAATTCATTTTCAATTGTTTTGATGGGCTTAAACAAATTTAATGGCAATAGATTCTGTATTACCTGTTGAACCCATATACATAAGGTACAGAATATTAATAGCACTGTAGCATTGCACTGTCCTCCTGTTATTCATCGATTTGCTCAAGCAGGCACCAGTAACGTCTCCATAGTGAGACTTGTTATTACTGTCTTTTGGCATATCGAATACATCATGGGTAGCTTGCCACGCTTTGCCATGTGGGTGGAATTCTCTCGGTAGCTTGCCAGGCTCTCCGAGAGGGGTGAAGGAATCGAACCTGGGTCAGCCGCGTGCAAGGCAAACGCCCTATCTGCTATGCTATCGCTCCAGCCCACAAAATATTAATATCATAAATATTAATATCTTGATATTTAATCCTTCAAGAGAACACTTTCTATTTACAAGCTATGGTCAATTTTTAAATTAGGAGCCCATCTCTGCATCACTAAACACATATCATTTGGTGAACATGACCACTTTATTTAATCACCAGGAAGGTTCAGATGTTCAAAACCCTTCAAAAAAGAGTATGACTGGGTAATCATGTAGTAATCCATGGTTCTTGAGTGGGATTAGAGATTTTCTCTGAATCCTGGTTTAACTGAGAATCTCAACGAAGGCTTTTCTCGTGGGCGCAGGAGGCAGATGGAGCTGGGGTAGCCCTTGAGTCTGAGGCGGCTCACACCCCCATCTGGGGACATGGTGAACCTCACATGAGTGATGACATCCTGGAGCTCCAGTGTCAGGCTATTGAAAGAGTGGCTTTCGTTGGGAGACAGCTGAAAGAGAGACAGACATAGGTGCTGGTA